TAGATGAAATATGAATATGCTTTATATTTAGCTTCTTTTTGCCTGTGCAATTTCAAGGGAAATAAATCTTAATTATAAACCGTTCCTGCAACGGTTACTTGCAACGGTTGGTTGAAAGCATAATCAAGTACACACAATACTGTTTGTTAGGAAAAGGGGAGATATCCACATGAAATTTATACCAAGGTGTAGCTAAAAATCCTCCAAATACGTTTGGTAATGATTCTTAAAACATACGTTGACATTAAGGGAATATATGAATTATTTTCAAAAGTTCAATGACGGCTCCAAGTTCGTACTACGGTTGGTACGGTAGCAATTTGGGAACCTCTAATCCATCAGGACAACCTTCACATTGAAACTTGCACTCGATTGGGCATATCTTGTCCAACTGTTAAAAAACGACCAACACATATCATGACAAATCGTTTTGCCATATGAAATTTTATTATTCAATAGTTCTCTCAAAACTGAATTGTCATAAACCTTGTATTTTTGATGATTTTTTTTAACGCAAATGGGACGGTGATTCATGTGTGACAGGAGGACTGGGATTGTAGCATACATCCGGTCCAAAGTGATATATAATACTATCTAGTCTTTTCATATTTATTTCATCACACAAGTTAATTTATCTAACGCGATTATGTCAACATTATTTCAAATTTTAATTCCGAACCCAGAAATGGGACCTATATAGATCATTTTTGTTTCAATAATACAATGCAACAAATGCAATTGCTGAAATACGCATTAATACTGCATGGCCCATGACGACGATAAGATTTTCTCTATGATGTTTTGGATTATAGTTTAAATTGGCCTGTTTATCTAAACAAGTATGGAGCTATCAAATACTATATTGATAAAAAACATCCGTCAGGCTTTACTGGATTCTCTCATAGATACAGATATTTGTTTTGGAAGTTTAGCTGTAAAGTTCTAGTTGCAAACGGGATGTCTTTTCCTAGTTTTTATGGTGATATTATTTGTGAAACTCTTGGAGTTCCAAAGAGTTGTCGGATTGACGCTGTTTTAATGATCTTTATGTGTTGTCGTTGTCGGTGCTGGTATTAATTTTGCTTTTAGTGGAATAGGACAAACTTAGGTGTGTGGCTGTACAATTAATAACACTTTCGATCATACATCCTGTCGATACTATATGTTTGACATTGTACAAGGCCATATTTTCTCAACTGCCTATAACGTCTTTAATTTGAAGCGTGCTGATATACATTTTCTAAAATTGAGAATGGAAACGGAGAATGTGTCAAAGAGACAACAACCTGACCAAAGAGCAGAAAACAGCCCAAGGCCACCAATAGGTCTTAAACACAGCGAGAACATCCCGCACCCAGAGTCGGGCATTCGCTGGCCCCTAAACAATAATGTATACTAACTAGTTCAGCGAAAATGGACGTCGCACTAAACTCCGAAACATATAAATGAACCAAAATAAAACAAAAAACATACAAGACTAACAAAGGCTCTACTAGAGATTCCTGACTTGGGACAGGCGCAAAAATGCGGTGGGGTTAAACATGTTTTGTGAGATCTCAACCCTCCCCCATACCTCTAGCCAATGTGGAATAAACAAACACACAGCAATACGCACAGTAAAACTCTGTTTAAAAGAAGACCGAGTCCGATGTTAGAATAGGTAACAGAAGAAACTTAGCAAAATGACAATGATCATCATAAATTAACAAAGGACTACTAGCAGTAACTGACATCCCAGCTCCAGACCTCAGTTAAACTAATCGAAAGATTATGTCCTCATCATTTGAAAATCAAGCACAATCCCTCCCGTAAGGGGTTTAGTATCATACCATCATAAAAAATACGAGAAGAACATAACCCGTAATATGCCAACAATTGGTTTTAGAATAAATGTGTTCATTCCCGATGCAAAGACCCTATGAGTGAATCAATATTAATTCCAAAAAAAAAATGCCATCTTTAATGACCTGACAACAGTATCGTAACTATATCCCTTCTGAATAAGTCTGTTCAAATGTTTGGTCAGCTTTTGGTGTGAATAACAACATTTTTGTGCTTTGTTTATTACCATACAAGATGGGATGTGAAATACCTGAACGTATTAGACGTTGATTTATTATACTTACGAATGATGTCCTTGTACCGATGATAAAATCTGGTATCTGCATGTCGATTTATTATACTTACGAATGATGTTCTTGTACCGATTATAAAATCTGGTATCTGCATGTCGATTTATTATACTTACGAATGATGTTCTTGAACCGATGATAAAATCTGGTATCTGCATGTCAATTTATTATACTTACGAATGATGTCCTTGTACCGATGATAAAATCTAGTATCTGCATGTCGATTTATTATACTTACGAATGATGTCCTTGTACCGATGATAAAATCTGGTATCTGCATGTCAATTTATTATACTTACGAATGATGTCCTTGTACCGATGATAAAATCTAGTATCTGCATGTTGATGTATTATACTTACGAATGATGTCCTTGTACCGATTATAAAATCTGGTATCTGCATGTCAATTTATTATACTTACGAATGATGTCCTTGTACCGATTATAAAATCTGGTATCTGCATGTCGATTTATTATACTTACGAATGATGTCCTTGTACCGATTATAAAATCTGGTATCTGCATGTCGATTTATTATACTTACGAATGATGTCCTTGTACCGATTATAAAATCTAGTATCTGCATGTCGATTTATTATACTTACGAATGATGTTCTTGTACCGATTATAAAATCTAGTATCTGCATGTCGATTTATTATACTTACGAATGATGTCCTTGTACCGATGATAAAATCTGGTATCTGCATGTCGATTTATTATACTTACGAATGATGTCCTTGTACCGATGATAAAATCTGGTATCTGCATGTCGATTTATTATACTTACGAATGATGTTCTTGTACCGATTATAAAATCTAGTATCTGCATGTCGATTTATTATACTTACGAATGATGTTCTTGTACCGATGATAAATCTGGTATCTGCATGTCGATTTATTATACTTACGAATGATGTTCTTGTACCGATTATAAAATATAGTATCTGCATGTCGATTCATTATACTTACGAATGATGTTCTTGTACCGATTATAAAATCTAGTATCTGCATGTCAATTTATTATACTTACGAATGATGTCCTTGTACCGATGATAAAATCTGGTATCTGCATGTCAATCTATTATACTTACGAATGATGTCCTTGTACCGATGATAAAATCTGGTATCTGCATGTCGATTTATTATACTTACGAATGATGTTCTTGTACCGATTATAAAATCTAGTATCTGCATGTCGATTTATTATACTTACGAATGATGTTCTTGTACCGATTATAAAATCTAGTATCTGCATGTCGATTTATTATACTTACGAATGATGTTCTTGTACCGATTATGAAATCTAGTAAATGTTTTGACAAGTGTCGAAAACGCCGGTGTAATAATTTTTCAGTAATACAGAGGTTTCTTTCGTTAAAATCAAATTCGTTATTTAAAACACGAGCGAATCGAACAAGTTGTGATATATAAACACCATAAGATGGTGCCAAGGGAACGTCATTACTAAAATATATAAGGTTTATTTATAAGTTGGAATTGTCTTCGAACAGCTTTCAGTAACTGCGAGTACTCTTAAATCAGTTACTTGTGTATTTTTTTGTTAGGGTTTTTAGTATGCTCATAGCCGATCTTATGAGCTAAAACTTTTTCAACTGATTTGTATAGTTTGTTCTTGTTTTGTGCTGGTACACCACTGTCTCAGGTTAGACAGTTGATTCCTCACAAATATATTCATCCCCAATGCATTCTGTTTGCCTGTCCTAAATTTGGAGCTTGTAATTCAGTGTTTCCGTTGCTGTCTGTCTTTGCTTTGTTGTTTTTGGTCGTTTCAAGCCTTTGAAAGCTGACTTTATGGTATAGGTTTGTTTCCTCATTGATGAAGGTCATGCAGTGTCGTAAAGTTGTTTACATCATCGTCCTTTGGTCTCCGATTGGTTGTGTTTTTTTTTACAATCATGCAACATCCCTTTAAGCTGACCTGATGCGAAGGGTCAAATAAGCTATTCTCGTCACTTGATGCTAGTTGTCCGTTAACTTTTACAAAACTATTCTCTATCCATAGTGGTTTTCAAGGTACTAGTAATGAACAAAAACATTTCACCCCTATTTTCTATTTCTAACCATGTCGGCCATTTGGTTGGAAGGAAGGGTCGTTCGACACATTTTTTAAATAAGATACCCCAATGATGATTGTGGCCGTTAGTTTAAATTTGACCCTGTGCATTGTATCAGAGGAGAAGATTTTTGTCAAAAGTTGACGGACGCCAAGTAATTGGGAAAACTCACACTAGCCTTTTGAGTCAGATAAGATTTCGCAACGCTTTTATCAGTTACGACGAGTAAGTCAGTGAAGATAGATCTGAATTTTTTTCAGGGTAGTTTAAGGAAATGTCTGTACCAAGTCAGGAAAATGACAGTTGTGTTCCATTCGTTTGATGTATTTGAGCTTTTGATTTTGCCATTTGATAGGGGACTTTCCGATTTGAATTTTCCTTGGAGTTATTTTTGTTATTTTACTTTTTACACTTTAAGTGAATAAAAAATGATTTTTAACAGTTTTTTTTTTTTTATTTTGAGTACAATCTAATTGACTCTAGGTACCTCTTTGAACCATAATGACCGAAAAATGTATACTCGAATTCTAATTTTGTGGATTCTTGAGGGTATCATCAGTCCGGCTCCTGTTTCGGACACTTCTGTATCAGATATAATATTTAAAATCTAAAGGATTTTTTTGCAACGAAAATCTTACAAAACAACAACAACCTAACGACAAAAACAAAATATAAGTGACATCTAAAGGTCAACATATGTAGCTTTCGACAGTAAACGAGGGTTTTTACCATGATATGTCAAGCTCTAAATCGCCAAGATGCAATTGTAAATAAATTTAACAGAGATTATATCTTATATAGACAATATATATTTTTACAAACCTTGTCAGGCAAGGTACATAAACATCATAGTACAATTATTATCATAATGTTAGTATGCGAGAAGAAACGTTTACAATGAAAACACACAATAACTCATAATGATATATGACTTCGACAGACACGCCAATATTTGGCTACAATAACCTTATAATCACTCAGTCCTTCGACAGCAAATGTCGGTCAGTGGAACGTATAGGCTTTATTGAGATCAGCTTATAGATTTTGGTTTATGTATGCTAGATATTTTAAACACAAATAAAAAAAAGAAAAATTAAAGACATTAATATTCCATGATATAACACAGTCGACTAGACCTGTCTCTAGTGGAAATATTCAGTTAAGATGAGAATTATATGCAGTGTTCGAGATCTCTTGTTTTCAATACTTGACATGATCAATTGTTGAATATTGGTTGACTCAGATAACACATCAACTCTTCATTACTCAGTCTCTTGGTTCTTGAATTGTTCATTCAAAACATTCATAGTTTTACAATCATATCCTTCTTATCTAACCGTGTGTTTCAATGCATCTATTTCCATTTCTTTCATCCTAATTTTCATCAACCATCAATGGCTCCTTTGTAGACTCTGTAAATATAGAAAACACTCCTGTCATGCCTGTGCTGATGTTCACTAAACGCATATATGAACTGACAAACATATAACCTATAAATCTATAACAAACAGAGCAAAGACATTATGAACAAAACACACAACATATGGGATGAACATAACATACATTCAAATGCTGAAGACATGATATTTCGATCAGTTTAAATTAATTGAGGTCTGGAGCTGACATGTCAGTAACTGCTAGTAGTCCTTTGTTAATTTATGTTGATCATTGTCATTTTGCTTAGTTTCTTCTTTTACCTATTCTAATATCGGACTCGGACTTTTTTCAAACAGAGTTTTACTCTGCGTATTACTGTGTATTTGTTTATTCCACATTGGCTAGAGGTAGAGGGGAAGGTTGAGATCTCACAAAACATGTTTAACCCCACCGCATGTATGCCCTGTCCCAAGTCAGCAACCTATAGCCTTTGTTAATCTTGTGTGTTTTTGTCAATTTTGGTTCATTTATATGTTTCGGAGTTTAGAGTGGCATCCATTCCGCTGAACTTGTATACAATATTGTTTAGGGCCAGCTGAAGCCTGCCTCCGGATGCGGGATTTTCTCGCTGCGTTGAAGACCCATTGGTGGCCCTTGGCCCTTGGCTGTTTTCTGTTATTTGGTCGGGTTGTTGTCTCATTCCCTGTTTCCATTCTCAATTCTTTTTATTTGAAACAAACTTTTTAAGGTATATGACTCTTATAAGATTATATATAAAGGAATAAAAAATAACGTATTGTTCTGCAAGAAAAAAAATCGAATACTTCTATAAGACTATAAAAGGTAAAAAAGAACATTTTGTTTTGCCAAAAAAAGAAAAAAAAAGAAATACTACTTATGTATAAATTAAATTGAGAAGATGTGGTATTATGATTGCCAATGAAACAACTTTCCACCAGAGACCAAATGACAAAGTAAGCAAGTAAAATTCACCTTACAGTCTTCAACAATAAGCATATCCCAAAACACAAAGCAAGATTTAAAATGGCACGACATGATAAATGTAAGACAATTCAAAGGAGAAACCCAATAGTTTATGTACAAAACAATAAACGAAAAACGAAAATGAAATACAGCAACAAACGACATCCACAAAGACTATATATAAATGGGTTTAAAAAGGGGGAGAAAAGTTCTAATGATGATCAGAATGATTATGGTAGATCACCGGATCAGTTTGTGTCCTTAGGATGCTATCTGACTGTCATGTATATGGAAGGGAATATCCGCCATAATTATACATTTCTTAATTTGTAAAATGCAATTTCATAATTTGTAACATGCAATTTCTTAATTTGTAAAATGTAACTTTCTTAATTTGTAGCATGTATTTTCTACATCCGTTACATGAAATTCTACATTTCTTGATTTGTGAAACGTTACTTCTTAATGTGAAAATGCAATTTCTTAAACTGCAAGTTAAAAATCAACAAGTTACAAATCAAGAAGTTTTACAAATCCAGAATGTAATAGTGCCACAATATTCCGCACGATGTCGCTGTGGATCTATGTAAAATCGTACCTTAGCAAACTCGTACCCAATATTTACCAACTCGTACTTCTACCAACTCGTACTTTTACCAACTCGTACCCAATATTTTATTATTTATACTCAATAAAATTTTCATGTTATTTTGTATAAAAACAAAAAAGTACAACTTTATTTATTGGTATTCTGATGCAATTTGTTTTCAAATCAGAAATATTTAAAGTAAATCATTCGTCTTTAGTAGTAAGTGATTTCGTGAAATTGTTTGAACGATAACAATATTATTTTGAAACCCCCTATTTGTAAACTATACATCAAAACATATATTAACTAACTAGAAAAATCTTCTTGAACACATGTTCAACGTAAACATCAGTAAAAAATATCCTTCTCACTTATTCTATGGAGCATTTTTGTTTACTGATTTTAGCGTTGAACATGTGTTCAAGAAGATCTGCTAGTTAGTTTTTATATGAAGGCATTTCGAATCTTTCTGAACCGATAAAGGCAACACGGGCATTAAAAATAGTCCCCAAAAAATAGATATAATCGTCTGGTAAGTTTAAATTATCTAAGCTAGTAAACATCGTTTCAACAAAAAATACAGATATATCATGTCCAAGCAAAATGTCAATGAAATCCGGAGACAGCAATCTTTTCTTCAGCCCACAAACATTTAAGAAACAAAACTTTAAACTATCTTTGTTCAATTTATATTCACTATTTACAGTTCAATTGCTGGTCAAATTCTTTTTAGATATAGGCCTCTTGCACCAACCCCCTATATGCCAGAAGTTAGTGGAGCATTTGAGTTCGGTGGACGAGGGGACGGTCCTTGTCGCTATCTTTTGCTAGATGGGGTAGCAATAGAGTAAGACCTTTTTGTGGTCGTGTCATGATTTCTTGACGAAGAGCTGGTACGCTCTGTTCTAGATTCGTCTAATATAGTGCCATGAATATAGAGCTGATTGTCTATCTTTACATATTTCGGATTTGAAAACAAATTTCATCAGATTACCAACAAATAAAGTTGTACTTGATTGTATTTATATGTTTCTATATTATATAAAAGAACATAGCAACTTTAATGCATACAAATAATGAAATATTGGGTACGAGTTGGTAGAAATATGAGTTGGTTGAGTACGAGTTGGCTAAGGTACGAGTTGACATGGATCAACAGCGACATCGTGTGGAATATCGTGGAACTATTTTATTCTTGATTTGTAAAACTTCTTGATATGTAAAACTTCTTGATTAATTTTGTAACTTGTTGATTTGTAACTTGTAGTTAATCTTGTGAAACGGAACTTCTTATTGGCTGGCAGTGATAACAATTACACTGACACATTGTCCCAAAACGTGACTCAAACAAATAAATTGCATTTCACAAATTAAGAAATGTAGAGTTTCATGTAACGAACGAAGAAAATACGTTAAAAAATTATGAAATTGCCTTTACACATTAAGAAGTTACACTTCACAAATCAAGAAATGTAGAAATTCGTGTAACGGATGTAGAAAATACACGCTACAAATTAAGGAATAACATTTTACAAATTAAGAAATTGCATGTTACAAATTTAGGAATTACATTTAACAAATTAAGATATGAATAATTATGGCGGATATTCCCTTCCATACATGTATCCATATTTCTTATTATTGATGTTATTATATAGTTTCGCTTTATCATGAATGGAATGTAAAAGAAATAACTCACTTGTATCTTTTTCCACTGGTGATGCTTCAGGTTTGAACCATATTATTCTTCTTGTGTAGTCTATATAGAGTACCACTCCAATTCCAATGAAAACTAATAAACCAACAATACTTCCCGTCACTATGGCAGCTATAGCTTCTATGCTTCTGAAGTGTTGAGATTTGTGAAATTTAAAAGTATCATTAAAACATACCATTTTATACACTCTTTTCGTGCTAAAAATAAACTTTCTTTGTGTGCTCTAACCAATTAGTCTATCATACGAATGTACGGGATTGGTATATGGTGTAAAGTATTTGTTTCAGGTTTATTAACATCTAGAAATACTCGCGTCGATCATTACGTTTTTATGAGATCCATTTATCCTACTACGTCGTGAGAACATACAATTAGACCAATAATGAAAATACTAAACTTATAGAAAATGGTTAGGTTCGACCATTTGGTATACAAAATAAATTTGCACAAAAGCGAAAATAAATTTTCGTCGCGCAAAAAGAATAAGCGAGAATCACAAGAGGTGAAAATCCGTACGGTGACCTATATAGTCATTGGCAATCATACAGCATCATGGCTTCTTAATTTTATATTCCGTCAGAAAAAAATCCTCCTGCTTCTCCCCCTGAATTTCAAATGATTGTGCCCTTCTAATCTCCATATTAAACTTATATTTCAATATTAACATACAAACTTTTGTCAGCTGGTTGTCGTCTTTCATCTCGGAAATACTTGTAGTATGTATCCTTTACACAACAAACGAAACCTCCATAACTCCCACAGCAGCCTGTGGTGCAATAGTGGTGGGCAAACCTTTCTCTGTTGCTGTCCATATAGGTATACGTACATACTTCTCCAGCAAACGTATATTTAAATAGTATTAAATCTGTAATATGAAATGTTTTCGAATTCAATACGAATAAAAAATAGTCGGTGGACAGGGTAGGGAGTAAACGGACTGTAAACCACTAGGCAATGTCGGTTGTAGCACTTCTGTGTGACATGAATTATTATTGATATGGTCAAAATTATAAAATATTTTTTTACGAAACGTTGAATTTCTCGAAATAATAAGAATTTTCTACCCTAGGAATAGATTACCTTAGCTATAGTTGGCAAAACCTTTCGGAACTTTGGGTCCTCTATGCTCAACTTCGTACTTTATTTTTGCCTTTCTAATTTTTACATTCGAGCGTCACTGGTGAGTCTTTTGTAGGCGAAACGCGCATCTGGCGTACACAATTTTAAAGTAGTATCTGTGATGAATATACAATTTTTTTTATAAAGTGAATTGATTGAAGAGATTTACTTTATACACGTTCAATTTAAAAGACCTTTAACACTGTAGAACTCAAATCGTATTCAATCAAAATCATTCTGACAGCTATTAATTTTATCAAAATAGAATTATACTCTTTGCCTTAAAAGATCAAATCAAATACATTATGTCATTCCTGATTCAATAAGAGTTTTTGTATTGAGATTACTAGAATTTTTTTAAATAATAACATGATTAAGAACTATGTAATTTTGTAAGTTTGAGTACTGAATCGGGGTTATGCACAGGTCTACACTAAAATCGTCAAGTCCATTTTATATAAATTGCTATTGTGTACAACATTAAATCTAACTTCCCCTGGAGATAGAGACGACATAGCTCCTTGGATAAACACATCAAAATAATTGTCATACTAAGTTCATATACAAACAAAGAGAAGAAAGCCTAGGATTTGTCAACATCCAGAAAAATATAAAATTGCAGACAAAATTTACATTATTACAAGTAATAATTTTATAAAACGAAAGAAAAATATCCGAAAAAAAAATATATAGTTTTAGTGAATTTCAATTATTCCAGGTAAAAATTATACATACATTATTTAAAGAAAGTTTAGAGATGTACTTACCAAATAAAATATACGCAAAATGTCTTTCTAAAAGTTTGCAACCAGTCATGTTTTTAACCTTTAAGCATATCGCTATTTCTGGTTAACTGTACAATTTTTTAAATTAAAACGCATTGATCTCACGAATACAATTATAAATTCAATAAGACATTTAAACATATTTGTGTTTCTTTCATGTGTATTAAATACTGAAGCCTTATTGTCAAAATAGTATTAAAAGAATAAATAACTTATGAATTCAACGAGTCTCATTTGATTCGTTAGGGGTATATCAGTGTATCGCTTCTATCAAATTTGTCAAGACAAACTAAAAAATATTTACCACACGCAAAGTGACTCAGTCGGATAAAACACCTGATCAGATAAATCGTACCAGTTATCAGAAGTAAATCTCTGGAATATCGAACGAATTCAAAGGTAAAAGCAATGTAAATAAACGTAAAATACTATCTATACAAGAAATTCAAAAATCGGAAATCAGTTCAAATACGGAAATGCAGCAAATCATGGGTAAAAATATGTAAAATCAAACTACCATTTGCATACATCTAAACAAATATGCATTGTTGAACAAAAAACGAAAAAAAAGAAGAAAACAAACAAAAACAAACAAAAAAGAAAAAAAAACACACAAAACTAAACAAAACTGTGCGTAATGTATTATCTTAAGCCCTGCAGTTATAATACGTCTATATCAATGGTTTTAACCATTGACATTACACCATTGACACACAATGTCCCTCTGTTCATGCGATTATCACACAAACAGTTACTTCAAAAGACAACTTAGACAGATAGTTACAGCTGTTATCCTAATGCTAGCAAGTTAAAGGTTTGGTTGGCTTGCTTGCTTTGTTTGTATTCAAGTTTGCTCAAGCATTGTAATTAAGATTGACATCTGCAAACAATATAAGTAGGCGGAGTTAAAGCTGTATATAGGTAAATTTGATTATTTGATAATGTCCAATCAAATTTAAATATAATGTATACAAGCTTAACTCCGCCTTTTTATGTTTTTTTCAGATGTCAATCTTAATAACAATGCTTGAGCAAACATTAATACAAACAAAGCAAGCAAACCAAACCTTTATCTTGCTAGCATTAGGATAACAGCTGTACACGTTTTTCCCCGTTCTGATCCTGCCTTTTACATTATATGTTTATTAAAATTCAATAACTCATGATTATTTTTCTTTATACTTATTGGTATATAATTAAGTACGCTCATGGCAAAAATTTGTATAAGCCAATTTTCACAGAGAAAAAAAGCAAAAGCCTTAACAGAAGAGTAATAACAGCCTTTGGTCAGTTATGTCTGAGGTAAATATATAAACTAAGATTTAGTAGAATTACACAATTGATAAACTGGATATCCACACTCAAATTTGAATTATATACTAGTAGTACCGAAGCACTTGTTACTGGGCAGATGGAACCATTAAGGGACTAATAGCCCATTAGGAGCGGTGCCAATTTAGTGGAAGTAAACAAACTTGTGATAATATCGATTCCGTTCACATGACACGTGTCTCTTGAACAATCTTCATCAGGTACGCACGATCCATAAAAAGCCAAATAAAGATGAAACTTTGAGAGCGTAAACACCAAAGCCAACTTAGCTTACGATGTACTAAGAAAAAGGTTTTACTAAATTTGATTAAAATTTGAATTTTTACAGTACCAACTTTCCTTTTTAATTTTCAATACTATTAGGAAATTTACCGGAAAAGTATGCTTAAAATATGGCATTTATACGTTCTTCGTTTTCATATATTTCGGTATGAGCATTCCAGATACGATATTTCAACAAAAACGCTTTACATGCACGAAATTTATAAAGTGTTTTTTTTTTCTTTCATTTATTTAATAGCACTGTGTTGATTCCACTGCTGGTGGACTGTTAATTTCCGACGTTGTCATCAGTTAGTGTTTTGATACTGACATTGACTAGGGCTTCAACTCCTTCAGGTGTTGTTGACCCCTTAGATAAATTTGGCTACTCTTGTATATGTCCCTTTTTGGTTATATACAGTGTAGCTCCCAAAGTGTTCGGGTATCTATTAATCCTTTGCTTTCAAATGATCAGGTTTGAGTGTTCCTGGTGAAGGAAAAACTTAAGTAAAGCGCATCGAACGCACGAGTTATAATGTGTTATTTTCATTTTGTTTCTTTTCTCCTTTGAAGTGTTTCACTTTGTTATTCAAGAGCTTTTATAATAACTATACATACGGTACTATAGTTTCTTCATTGTTGATAGCCGTACGGTGACCATAAGCTTTTTACATCCTTGCTCTTTGGACTTTAATAAGTATTTGTCTCATAAGCAATCATGCCACATCTTTTTAGTTTTATACAGAAAAAAATAAGGAATACATACTCGTAGATATGCTGCTTACATCCACTTCATTGGAACGTTGGTGGATAGTTGTCTCATACCACATCTCCTTGTTTTTATATTTGTAGTTTTCAGTTATATAGGTATTTGTCTTGGTTTTTTTCGTCGTTTGTTTTTAGATGGCAACCAAGGTCACCAAAGAACTCAAAACAGATTCTTCTTCATTGATGAGGTAAACCCTCAAATCCCCCAAAATACATATCAATCTATAGTTCACACTTTTGTCACGACAGTTAAGGATAAATTACACCGTAGGAATAAGCTTATTTGGGTTGCCGATAAGAGTTAAGCAGGATGGCAAATTGTAATATAGTGTTAAAGCTGAGACAACAGTTCGTCCTAGTCAGTGTGTTGCTTATGGTACTCAAAATAGGAAACAGGTTTTTCAGTTTCATCAATTTCCAGAACAGTATGACACGTACTATTTCATACGCCCACTACCACGGGAAATGATATTGGTAATAATTGTTATTTGGGCGACAAAACAATCCCTTTCAAACTTCTGTTAGGTACTTCTTATCAAGTCTTCAAGTCTTGTCTATGATTAAATGAGAATAAGATCAACCATTTAGAAAGTCATAAAATACCTATTTAGTGGTATTCTTTCTATTTTTTATAGGTTAGATAAAGTACACTAAAACGACATAACACATATATCAATAACAAAACAATACACATGAAGAAAACAAGATTAAACTACACGAACCCCATCAAAAGCCGGGCTGAACTCATGTGCTCTGGAAGGTAAGCAGTCGCTGGATGTGTCATTGCTAATACAAATGTTTACTAAAATATATCATTGATTTACCATTATATGTTCTCCTTAAATTTACCTAATCAAAAACTTCAACGTGTTAATTATGCAGAAATTGCTGAGGGTGTGGTCAAATAACCTCCATGGACATGAGATATGTCAATGCTAAAACAACTACATATACCCAAATATATCATTGACTTGCCATCTGTGATTCCATTAAAATCACTTAGTCACTTACTTTAATAAGTGTTGAAGCCGATGTAGCCGAGAACAACATGTCTAAGTCTCGCTGCTGCGACTTTGTCGAAACAATACAATAATACATTTGTTTCAGTGCTATATATGGCTATATGATGTAGTCGGGCACAATTGGCAGCGGTACACTAAATAAAAAGACGTGTGCTTGATTTATCCAATTATGCCTGGATTGATTGATTGTCGGTTGTCCAGTTGCAAATTGATCATGCATGTTTAGGACGATTATGCAGGAACAATAGCAAAGCTACTGACAAATTGTATAAAAAGTGTCTTCAAATAAATTACAACTTTTGCTTAACACATATAACTATATGCCATAATGAAAATTTTTACTCACAGAACGTTTAAAATTGATCATCTGAACATAACATACCTGTGAAAAACAATACAATTATCCATGGCGCCTTTTTACCGTTCAACATTTTATCTCACTTCTTTGAAAAATGTAGTTTTATTTATTTCCGGAAAGCATTAAAAGAATACTTAAGGAAATTCCAAAACCGCATTTCCTGTATTCTAATTTATGAGATAAGGGCATTATGAGTGCTTTAAACTAATTTAGTTACCTTGCATTTTTTTGTGTAAATTAAAGAAAAAACTCGCCGTAAACTTAACTTTTTATAGATTTTAAGGTACAGGAAATTAGAAATACCAAATAATCAGGTTATAAATAATTTGAGGAAAATGATTTTGATCATATTCACTGTCAAGTGATATAAATGATATAATTGAATCAGTCTGTAAAAATAGATATACAATAAAAAAAAATCACGTCAATCCTTGAATCAGTTTTTTTTCAGCCTATGAGCCTGAAAGTTTTCAACAAAAACACGTGTTAAATTGTCAAAAACAATTCAAACACGAAATATTTTAACGCCTTTCTTATGTCCCTGCCCCGCCACTGATTTTATTTTTAATGGCTGCGATCTGTTAGCTTATTTTGCATTTATTATAGAATATTTACTATAAAAAATAAAATAATTAAAAAAAAACACACAAAAATATTTGGGAAAAGAAGGATCCATTCCTCAAGTGCCTGTGCTTTAAACCAGTCATGTTTTTGAGGCATATATCGAAAGTTATATCATTATTATGTAAATACTCAATTTAAATATTAAGGTGAATTTCACGGCTTTTGATCTTTATAGTATCCAATACACGAAATTTAATCTTTATACCTTATATTTAACAATTCATTGTTCATTTGTGTGTCGAATGTGAGTATTTAAAAATATCCTAGCTAACATGCTTAAGGAAATTATGAAATACCAAGATATTGTTTGAAAAATTGTAAAGATATATCACAGTACTATCATAATCTTCAAACTAGTCAGTTGTCACATGTTTGTCAAGTAGATACTTAAAGGTTATATCTAGCAAATAATATTTTGATCATTTATGTATACTGATAAGCCGTTGTACCAACAATGATATATGTTCATTTAAAATTGTACTACAAACAACAAGACACACTTAATTATTAAGCAAGAAAAGGAAGGTGAGCGAGAGAAGGAGAAAAAAAGGTGAGCGAGAGAAGGCGAAAAGAGGTTTCAAGGGGGCAATTTTGATAGGGAGCAAAATTTTGACCACAAGAGATTTTTGAAAATAAAAAATGAAAATGAAAGAAGACTCTAACTATTGAAAAATGTTTTTTTTTTTCTTGTCATTTTCCTTGTTACTAAATTTCATGGATTCAGTATGTATATAATCCTGAGAGTGGTCTATTTTTCAGAAGAAAGGACAGAATGTATAGGTAGTACCAACATTAACGCTCTCAACTTTAAAGACATTTATGAAATCGTCAAAGTAATCGAGACTAAAAAGAAGTTGTGCCAGTAAAAACTTTTACGCCTTTTTCTTCTCTGATAAGACTTCATCTGCTACTACCACATTTTTATTATATCATGGTGTAGATCTATATGTTTCTGTACACCTTTGTATCAACAAAGGTTTTTCAGAATAAAATATATACATGTAGTCTATATACTGGCACATCTCTGCCATTGCATTAACTTTTATTATATCGGTTCATATGCTAGTATCCAAAGGTGTCTATCTACAAATAATTTAAATATTCAATGTTTGACAATGGCAGACATGTCTTTTTTGTCACGATTGTTTAATTCATTTTCAAAGGCAAGTGTTTTAGAGCAACAATTACTTCTGGTATTGATGTTGTAAGCGTATTCAGTTCTGCCACGTGCATGTACAAGTAACATTACATGCATTGATGTGTTTTGAAATATTCATCAATGAAACTTTTTATGCTTTTCTCAGACTGCTTATGACGTTTGTACATTAAATTGATAATTTAGTCTGGAAATGATTATTTATTAGTTAAAACTGGTCTTTGGCTAAGCTTGCAGTAACTGTGTGTACTCTTAGAAATGTACGTATTTGTCATTTGTTTTTTGGGGTTTTTTTTGTTGGCTAATTTGTTGTGGGTTTTTGTTTTTGTTAGTTGATTTTGTGCTTAGAACCTATCTGATGACGGTCAACTTTAGTTTATCTTATCTTAGGTTGTATTTAGAAAACTTGGCAATGGTTTGTACCTGTCATGACTTTTAATTCGTTACATTTTATTTCAAAAAGAGTAGGAAGATACCAACGGGCACTCAAAACGCATAAGTGAAGGAAAACTTACAACACCATGGCAAAAAAAAACAAGAGGCTCTCAAGAGCCTGAATTGCTCACCTGTAATTTTTTGCTTAAATCTTTCATCAATGAATACTTTTGCTTTTTGATATATTTTAATGAGTGGCTTTAAAATTCCATTGAGATGTTCTTTGTATCTGTCATATTTTCTTCAAAAGCAAAGAAATACATTTTACCCCTATGTTCCATTTTAGCTATAGTGGCTATGTTTCTTGACGTACAAGAAAATAAAATACAAAATTTATACTAGATACTCGGTAACTCATTTAGCCCAAGTTTGGCTGAAATTGATTCAGCAGTTTCAAAGGAGATGATTTTTTAAAGTAAGCAAACTAGATGAACAAATTGTGAAAAATTGTCTTCAAAGGGCAATAACTCCTTAAGGACACATTTGACAATTTTGGTCATATGAACTTATTTGTAGATCTTACTTTGCTGAACAGTTTTGCTGTTCACAGTTTATCTTTATCATTAATACTATTCAAGATAATAACCAAAAACTGCAAAATTCCTTAAAATTACCAATTTAGTGGCAGCAACCCATTAATGGACTGTTAGATTCGTCTGAAAATTTCATGGCTGATAGAACTTGGCCTAATGAACATTTTAACTTCTCATCAGATTTGCTCTAATTGCTTAAGTGTTTGAGATATATTAGCCAAAAACTGCATTTTACCCCTGTTCTAATTTTAGCCATGGCGGCCATGATTTTTGACGAAACAGAAAATAAAACAAAATCTTTATTCTAGATACCCTAAGGATCATTTAGCTTAAGTTTGGTTGGAATTAGTCTAGTAGTTTTAGAGGAGATGATTTTTTAAAGTTAGAAAACATGATAAACAAATTGTGTAAAATTGTCCTCAAAGGGCAATACTCCTTAAGGGGTCAATTAACAATATTGGTCATATTAAACTTATTTGTAGATCTTACTTTGCTGAACATATTTGCTGTTTACAGTTTATCTTTATCATTAATACTATTCAAGATAATAACCAAAAACTGCAAAATTTCCTTAAAATTACCAATTTAGTGGCAGCAACCCAACAATGGGTTATTAGATTCATCTGAAAATTTCAGGGCTTATAGAACTTCACCTAATGAACACTTTTACCCCGTCAGATTTGTTCTAATTCCCTTGGTTTTTAAGATATAAGCCAAAAACTGCATTTTACCCCTATGTTCTATTTTTAGCCATGGCGGCCATTTTTTTTTACGAAACAGAAAATAAAACACAAACTTTATTCTAGATACCCTAAGGATCATTCTGCTTAAGTTTGGTTGGAATTGGTTCTGTAGTTTCAGAGGAGAAGATGTTTGAAATAGTTTACACCAGACGGACGACGACGGACGCAAAGTGATGGCTAAAGCTCACCGGTGAGCTAAAAAAACGACGAAAAGACAAACCACAAAACACAACGTCGAAAACTAAAGATTGAGCAACACGAACCCAACCAAAAACACTGGGGTGTGGGGACTAAATAGATGTGCCCAGGAAGGCACCGTGGCACCCGTTGTGTTGCTCATGCAATTACAAATATGGTGATAAATGTTTTTCTGTGATGTCACAATCGTTATATACATATAAGGATTGCCTTTTCATAGAAACCTGCATTAGCTGTAGATCTTTAGTAGTCACAGTGAAATCTATTCACAGCTGTTAATGTTTATTAACCATATGTTGACGTCTATTTTTCGATTCGGGGATTTTTTTTAGTGTTCTATGGTAGATGTCGCTTTGAAATTATACCTTACACATTTTTTATTCATCATCATTGCTTTAATTTATTCATTCAAACTCAACATGAAAAATTGGAAATGTATGAATAAAAAGGCAAATGGGTAAAATGAGGGAGAATAATGATAGCAACACACAAGACAATCAAATGAACTTTATTTTGTTTTAGCACTATTATATCGATATATTTACAAATTCAAACATTATTTACAGATGTTCAAACCGAGAGTCATCACTTTGAATATGTTTAGTACACTAAGGTAAACCACAAAGACACTTTAAACAACAATTCACGGTTAGCGTCGATACATGCGATGTGCTACTGCTACTGAGGTCTGAAAGTATTGCCATGGATACGCTTGATGAATGTAGTACGGACCTTGAAACAACAGTGGATGAGGTTGAGATGGTGATGTAGAGCTGTGATTATACGATGGGGGAGATGTTTGAATGCTACATGTAGAACTGTCTGATGATGAGTTCAGCATGCATTCCTGGTCTGGTGACGACATGTGTTGTGGCGGTGAGCTATATGCTGGTGAGACCCTGTCTTGGTGTTTGCTAAAGTGTGGATGTTGGTTGGAACACTGCTGTGACGACTGTAATGGTGATGTAAGTATCTGTTTCATGTCTGGAGATGACTCTGCTGATAGCGATGTCTGGTCATTAAACTGCTGAACTGGCGAAGAATTCTCCGTGGTTGGTTTGTTAGAGGTGGAACTGATGTCACGTAAGATGTCGTTGAACATATCATATGGACCTACAGGCGGGTAAAACGGAGTTGGTGGAGATGGATAACTAGAAGACACACTTGGCATATATGACAAACTGAAAAAAAGATACAATGTATGAGTCATGCATATTTATGATAATTTATATGAACGAAGTTCAATATTTTGTACTAATAGAAATTAACAAATATATTTGTTTGACTACATATTAATTGAAATGTTTTCTCTGTCAGTTTTGACCAAACAGTATGTAATCATTGGATGCCGATGGTATATTGTATAAGTAAGTAAATTGTTTATCATAGTGACATGTGTAATTCAACATAAATATATACATATGTGTAAAAAATATTATCCAACATACAAAATACACCCGTTCCAATGGACCAATAAGTCACATTTAACTTTCAATTCAATATAAATGTTTCAATATCACGTGTTAATTGTCAACTTAAATTCGATAGAAAGATAATCATAACTTAAGAATTAGCGTTTGTAAAAGTTCAGAAATGGTTATTCTAAATTTTAAGAATGTTAACTAGAATAAACTCTGTTTTCTACGGAAAAGTGACTCTGCTAAGTATTAAGCTATTTTCCTTGGATGGTTCACCATTAGGAATGTTAATTTTCCTTGATTATCTAGCTGCATATAGTCAGGCAACACTAATATCTCATTAAAACAGTTTGTCTGATATCATTATAAAATCTACAGTTTATAAGAAATGTATCACTAAAGAAGAAGTGTTGACTAGGTATAGCCCTTCGACAGAAAACACATGCTAAATAAAGGCAAGTATAAATAAAGGTAGTATACCGGTGTTCAAAAGTCATAAATCGATTGAGAAAAAACAAATCCGGGTTACAAACCAAAACCGAGGGAAACACATCAACTATAAGAGGAAAACAAATGAACGACAGGAACACCGAAGCGCAACAAAAAGACTGGCTAAAGACTGGCTTTCGTTTGGCTTAGCAGGGTGTATAAAATTGATACGCAATGGGGCGTTGAATCCGATGTCTATGGAGAGTGCCACATTTTCTTCACGTTAAAGAACCCATTCAAAAACTATTTGAAAGGTGTGCAAGTGGCCTGTTACAAAGCAAAATGAACTTCGGATTCTACTAAATACGTCACTGGACGTTAAGCAACCATCAATCAATCAATCAATACATTTATTCTGCATCCCATGTTTTCGGGTTGTTATTATGTTTATCGTTTATTTTGCTAAAGTCATATATATATTACTTTGAATGCAGTATTTACCACTACAAAAATGTAGTCATTAAGTTACTAACGACAAAAAAATATCCAAAACAAACAAAAAACAGCAAACTATTTGTAATTTGGATACTTAAAACTTTGAATTGCTCAAATATATAAGGTAATAAGTTATAAGGTTTATCGCTGTTTCCTTAAATTAAAAAAGTTACAAATAAACAATACCACAAATTCTAAAATTTATTTTCAGTCGAAGCCAATGATTGTTGAAAAGTTATAATTTTTTGAACTTTTGTTTTGTACAGTAATCAGTTTTTAGCAGAATATTTTTTATGTAAAATACAACAATTATTAATTATATAGTATTTCCTTGGTTATCCATGACTGGCTGGTAACAGTGCTATTGTTTAATATATAGACTTACTTTGATTTGGGAGCACATCTGATACTTTCTGTTGTTGGTGGTGACAGTACATGATTTTCTTTTACTGCTGGGTCTCTGTTGAAGATGTGCTTCCTCATCCAGGCAATGTTGGAGTCTTTAGATTGACGTTTGAACTTAGATCTTCGGTTCTGGAACCATGTCTGAAAATAAGTTACAAGTTAATTTTCAAGAAGTCTACTAATATTTATTTACAGTATTGCTGACAGCTTATATATGTGTACTACAGTGATTTACACATTCAGGCATTTAGCCTAAGACTTTGTCAACATCAAAAGATGAGAAGGAATATCTTAGCAAGAACCAAAAGATGAGAAGGAATATCTTAGAAGAACCAAAAGATGAGAGGGAATATCTTAGAAAGAACCAAAAGATGAGAGGGAATATCTTAGCAAGAACCAATAGATGAGAACGAATATCTTAGCAAGAACCAAAAGATGAGAAGGAATATCTTAGCAAGAACCAAAAGATGAGAAGGAATATCTTAGCAAGAACCAAAAGATGAGAGGGAATATCTTAGAAAGAACCAAAAGATGAGGGGGAATATCTTAGCAAGAACCAAAAGATGAGGGGGAATATCTTAGCAAGAACCAAAAGATGAGAGGAAATATCTTAGAAAGAACCAAAAGATGAGAGGGAATATCTTAGCAAGAACCAATAGATGAGAAGGAATATCTTAGCAAGAACCAAAAGATGAGAAGGAATATCTTAGCAAGAACCAAAAGATGAGAAGGAATATCTCAGCAAGAACCAAAAGATGAGAGGGAATATCTTAGCAAGAACCAAAAGATGAGAGGGAATATCTTAGCAAGAACCAAAAGATGAGAAGGAATATCTCAGCAAGAACCAAAATTGTAGTGAAATCAAATACAAACTTAAACTATTTTGGTTATGGTCTTATGGATGTCATTTGGATAAATTTCAATATTTTGGTTATGGTCTTATGGATGTCCTTTGGATAAATTTCAATATTTTCTGAAAATTGTCTAAAACGTACATATGTATAACTTCAAATAATATTTTGGAAAATAGAAACATATAAATAAAATAACATTTTAATTGGTTATTGGATATATTAAATTTTTGCAAATCTCTTCAAGAATATTATTCAGATTATCAATGTTCACTTGGAGTGAAATACATTTAGCAATATCACTTTAAACCACATATGTGATTTTTGCAAAAATCGAATTCGACCTGGTTATGTGGTTAATGGCAATAATAAACAAAAAAAGTAATAAAATATTTACTTTTGGTTTGGACTTTTTATTTGGAACCAAACAGTGTTGTGAACAAACTGCATTAACGTGCGGAGAACAATAAAATACAAAAAAAAAATCTAATATCAGATTGGAACTTTTTGTAGCAGCAGTTTGGCCAGATGTCTTCAATAAAACTATAATCTTGTTTTAAAATTTTGGCACAGTGTGTCAGTTTAATACAACGGGATTCGTATTCATGTTCCAGTCCTGAATATATGATTGTATCATTGTCCAGTGTACTATAACCAGCCACCCTTCCATCTGTCCATTTGTTTGCCATAATGATAAAAAAAAATCATCATGAATGCCCAACGAACGTCGCGTCTACAATAGACTCATCGATAAATTGCGCTCATCTACGAAGTCCGAGTTAAGACAGTTGAAATCAAAAGCACCATTGTCCATGATAAAATGTTAAGATTTCAATACGTAACCCGTTCAAAGCATTCGTCACTGTTATTTCGCATTTTTTTTAAATTTGTTTTATATATTAATCCGTTTACATATACATTGTATTAGTTTGTTGAAGGGTTGTTGCCGTTCACAAAATTAAACTTAGTAACTTTTTTGTAGTATTTTTATAGATTTCAGAAACTGTCTAAAGTTGTACAAACGTTAGTATATTTAGGTTGTTACTTTATACATACTGATATTTTGTCTGTTGAAACATTACACAGGTCAGCAAGTTCCTCCATTGTGGCGGTATCTGGATACTGTGACAAACAAAATGACCTCTCCAAAGCATACAGCTGGAACAAAGAAAACAATTTTTTTATAATGAATTTTGTATATATTTATTTTAAAGTATTTTAGCTCGGTAGCAAAATGATCAGACAGACGCCTTAGTTTTGAATTGATATAAACGTAATACTTATATCAGTTAAGAATATTTGGGATTTATAACTAAAAGCTACTAAAAAACTAAGGACGCTTTTTACCAGTCTTAATTCGATGAAGTGATTATGCTGGGCTTTCTGTTTCTCGTGTTTAGTGTTTTGTAGACTGTTGGTTTTTTTTTCTTTTTTGTTATGGATCCTTTATGGAGTGATTGTATCTTCCTCTTTTCAAATAAAACGTCATGCATAAATAGAAAAGTATCTTCAATTTTTCAACCAGAAGAGAATAAATATTACGATAAGGATTATACTTTCTTTAAAAAATGATTAAAAACTACTCTATCATTTATTTCAATGTATAAAAGAAATGTGGGTATGTCAATGAGACGGGAAACCAACCCCCAAAAAGCATCTCCAGGTCAATACATGGTCTTCAGAAAAAGAAAAGTGTCTATACAATATATGTCAAGCTCTTAGCCATTCCAAGTCTAGAAAAGTTATGAATAAAGTTTAAAGAACCTGTCACAGAGATCGGTCATTCATACTAGATTCCCGAAAGAAAAATAATGATAATTCATTATTAAAGGCAACAACTGAGCATATAACGCCTTCAACAAAAAGGCAAACATTTTATTTCAATAAACTCATCATAGATACCAGGACAAAAATTTTGTACGCCAGACGCACATTCCATCTATAAAAGACTCAACAGTGACGCTCGAATCAAAAAGTAAAGCATGCGAAAAAGTTATTACGCAATCATTAAAAATGGTGTTTGTTTTAAACGGCGGAGGACATTTCAGCGAGAGAAAAAAATCGGACTTTTTAGCGCTAAAGTCTAACCCGTTGTAGCTCCAGATTTTTAATCTATTTGAACTAAAAGTGAAATAATCAACGCCCATTTTAGCGACAGAAATTAATTTATAGCAGAATAATTTTTATATAGTTTCAAGACATCAGAACATGAAAAATATCATGTCCATTGAAAAAACAAGCATTTAATGTCAAAAAAAGATAACTCTAATGTTTCAAGTCCGTTCTAGCCTGTAATTTATAACCCAAAAAAAATCAAACGGTTCCTTTATAATTTAGACCCTTTTGACCCTTTTGAACCGTACTTCGTCGGTAGTGCATCATTGAAAATCTTACATTCATAACATTTTTGGGATGGTAACAAATATTTGATCCTTGATTTATTGTTTAATTTGAATTTGTAAAATTATTTTTTTCCAACTATTATAAAGACCTCGACAGACGATGTGGTTACTTTTCCAGCGATGGTAATTGTGTAGTGACCTCAAGATGTCTTTTTGATGTTTTTAGTGCCGTGCAGTTACCGTCTCTATGACGCTTATCCCTAATCTTCGTTCATTCATAGCTTTTAGTAGTCTACTGAAATGATTTATAACAGACTTTTCTTAACTTATACAGACAGTTTATAAATTTATAAATCATTAAGATACTAAGGTTTCAACTTCCTTAGGCAAAGATGACCTTTGATGAATTTGGCAATTATTTTTATCTACTTTTTGGTCTTAAAGCTCTTCAAGTGTTTCGTTTCTTATATGTCCTTGGCTTTCAAATATTCGGCTTTGAGCGTTTCTAATGAAGTAAATTATGACCCAGAAAAGCTCTTCGGACGCATGAAATTTATCAAGTGTTATTCTTATATTACACGACACTTTATTGAAAGAAAATATGTTTTTTTACATTGTGTAGTGATTTGGTTCAGAAGATTTAACAATTTTTATGGAAGGAAATTTCCGGAAGAGCTTTACCAATATTGATGTAACGCCCCTTTCAGTTGTGGCGGGATAGTGTTCATTTGTTTATATCGTAGCGTCTTTTCTCGTATGATGATCATTTCTTAATTATTGCTATGTACCTGTTCAGTGGTGTACTTGGTTCTGCCACGACGAGACTGAAGATCATCTTTTACGCCCATTCTGAAAAAGAAATGAACTAATGAATAAAAAAAAATAATGAAATCTACTGAGTGTCATCTGCTTTTTACAGTCATATTTTCAAGACTCCTATATAAAGGTAAATAAATATGTGTGGCTAGGTCGGATATAAAGCATAGCATCGGGTATACAAATTGCCTTGTGTAATTATAGTACAGATATCATTTCTAAATCAGGAACTTTTTTTGGGGGGGGGGGGGGGTAGGGGGCTAATCACATGATGATTCTGGCCAAGTTACACGAATACACTGTCTATATCAATCGACTATATAAAAATAAGGAGATGTTGTTTGATTGCAAATGAGACAACTATCCACCAAAGTTCTAATGAAGTGGATGTAAGCAATTATAGGCAACCGTTCAGCCTTCAACAACGAGAAAACCCAATACCGTATAGTCGTCTATATAAGTCTCCGCATGAAAATTATGAAACAATTCAATTGAGAAAACTAACGGCCTAATGTATAACAAAACAATTTACGAAAAACAAATATGACAGACATGAACCAACGACAACCACTGAACTACAAGCTCCTGACTTGGGACAGGCACATATAGATTGTGGCGGGGTTAAACTAGTTAGCTGGCTCCAAACTATTATGTTCAGAGAAAACACTTTGTACTGTGCGTTCCCTCAAGTCATACTTAAGGTGTTTCTTTCCTTTTTGTTTATCCTATAGGAAAAAATTATTTATACGTTAAATACTAATCAAACTATATTATTAAAAAATGTATCAAAAGAAAATCAAAATTATGAACAAATACCGGAAAATTTGTTTAAGTCAGGAACCTGATGTTCAGTGGTTGTCGTTTGTTGATGTGGTTCATAAGTGTTTCTCGTTTCTCGTTTTATATAGAGATTAGACCGTTTTTTTTCCTGTTTGAATGGTTTTACACTAGTCATTTTGGGGCCCTTTATAGCTTGCTGTTCGGTGTGAGCCAAGGCTCCGTGTTGAAGGCCGTACTTTGACCTATAATGGTTTACTTTTACAAATTGTGACTTGGATGGAGAGTTGTCTCATTGGCACTTATACCACATCTTATATCTATATAGGTCTATATAACAGTAGGTAATTGGTTGGATCTGGCTTAGATATGTAAGGCTCTTTTATTTAAGCTCATAATTGATGCTTTTTTATTTTTGAGTTTTTTGCCAAAACAAACAGCAAATGCAGTGAAAATCCATCTATTAAAATTTTGGGTCTAGATACATTTTGAATACACTTAATAACGACATACAGATTATTTTTAGTTTCATACACAAATGTAAGGAAAGTGGTGACTGTAATAATGAGAAGAATTGCCATTGTATTCAAAGAGAATTTCTCATTTGAATTACTCCAATTTTCAATCAGTTTCTCTTATGGATCTCTTTGATACAATATTAATAAATAAAACATAACCGGTCCAATATACAATGTGAAAAATTTGACACTTGTATTTCGGATGTTATCCCTTGGAGGGCGTATTATATTGGATGCATAATTTTTGTTGTTTTTTTTTAAATTGTTTAACAGTGTATGAACAGGTATATAAGTACTATATGCATCTAGATATAAGTATTATTTTGCATGAATCAATTTTGATAGCTTTTGTAGAAAATGATGTGGTGGTCATTGTATAGATCTAATAAAGAAAAACCTACTTTTTCTTGAATAATTTTAACCTTTTTCAGGAAAAAAAAACAATAACATTTTAATGTACTATCAACACATTTTATGACACAGGTGTCAAAAAGGAGAAATATCTAACCCTCGGGTTATAAAACAGATGAGTAAACAGAAAATAGTGAATTCAAAAATCGAAAAACAGTTAATAAGGGTAATTTTTTTCACAATAACAGTTAACAAAAATGTCAATTTTAAGAACAGATAATAGCTAATTAGTCAATAGTATGCAGTTAACAGCACATATATTTTCAAAATAACAATTAACAATAGTTTAAAAATGCCTAAAACCCCTTAACGGAAAAGATCCTGGTGCAATATGAGTTCTAATCGGTTAAACAGAAAGGTTTTCATATGGACAGAAACTGGGAAATATGGGAAACTTTAGCAGAAAGGCGTAAACAACGAAAATTAACAATTTTTTATCGAATGCATAATAAATTTTGTCCCCAATATTTAATCAACTGTCTACCTCCAGTTACATCTGATGTCAGTGGATACAACCTAAGAAATAATGATAATTATATACCCCCTAGATGTAGACTACGAATAACTGAAAAGTCATTCGTACCATCTACTGTCAGAATATGGAATAATTTAAATCCAACAATAAGAAACGCACCAACTATTCCACAATTTAAACGAAAAATAAAGGGTGAACTATTTAGACCTCCAACATATTATGGTGAAGGGCCTAGAAAATTTAATATACTGCATACAAGACTAAGGCACCATGCAGTGCAGTTCATTAAATGCAGACTTAAATAAGATAAATGTAGTGAATGATTCTAAATGCTCCTGCGGTTCTCCTGTTGAAGATGCCATCCATTACTTTCTAGAATGTCAATTATATTATAACCAAAGAATATCTCTGATTAATGATCTTACAAATATGAACATACACATTGATATTGAAACGCTACTGTTTGGAAAAGATGCATATAATTACGAAACTAACTCTAAAATTTTTGATAAAGTTCGTTATTTCATTAAACAGTCAAAACGATTTTAACATTCTAAGTCAGCAGCTTTCTTTTTTCTTTCTGTCCTATTTGCTTTTTTGTTGCCATGCAAATGTGTGACTCCTTCCTTTATTTTCTATAACTGTCGCTGTATTATGTATGTGTTTGCTGTCATCATATATGTGTATTGTATATGTAAGGAGAGGACTTAATATAAGCTGTTATAACTTGTGTCCAATCCTATTGCTTGATAAATACAATTAAATTTATTAAATATGGACAGACATTATGAGTAGAAAACACAAGTGTGTAAAAAATTATAATTTTTATGTAAGGAA